GCGCGCGCAGAAGAGCGCCTGCGCGCGACGCGCGCCGTCGTCGCGCGCGCCGTCGTCGCGCGACCCCCCCGCACGCCCGGCCGCGCGCCCCGGGCGCGGGCGCGCGCGCGCGCGAGCTCGACGAGCTCCGGCGGCGCGAGGAGCACCGTGGCGCCGTCCGCCGGGGCGCCGCCGCCGCCGCCGTCGTCCGCCGCCGCGTCGCCGCGCGGGAGCGCCGCGTCCGCGCACGCGAGCGCGAGCGCGGCGCCGCGGCGCCGCTCGCGGTCCGCCGCGGCGCCCCCGCGGGGCGCGTCGAGGGCCCGCCAGAGGCCCCGCTGGTTCGGCGCCTGGAGCGCGTCGAGGAGCGCGCGCGCGCGCGCGGCCGCGCCGCCGCCGCCGCCGCCGGGGAGGCCCGCGGCGTCGAGGAGCGCGCCGACGGCGCCGACGGGCGCGCCGCCGGCGCCCCCGTCGCCGAGGGGGCCGTCCGCGCGCGCGGCGGCGCGGAACGCGAGGACCCGCAGGTCCGCGTCCGCCGCGGCCAGCTTCTCCGCCTGTGTGGGAACCAAATCTTCAGCCCGACTTCAATGCGCGCGTCATCACACGACGTCGACCAGACGATTCGGTCGCGCTTCGAGAACTCGACGACAGCACACGACTCGCGCAAAAATCGGCGGAGTCGACTTCGATGCGACCGAGCGAGAGATTTCCGAAGTTCGGTCGCGACCCCCCAAACCGGCGGTTGGTTTCCCCGCGGTTCTCCGCGGCGGGCCGGGGCAGCGGCAGCTGCATCTCCTCGAAGGCCCGGAGCTCGGCGACGGCGGCGGCGAGCATGTCCGCGACGGCGCGCGCGGCGCCGGGCCGGCCGCAGTCGTCGCACGCGCGGCAGATGAGCGCGTAGAGCCGGCACCGCGCGGGCAGGTACTTGGTCGTCGCGAGCGCGACCGTCGCGTCGAGCGCACGCGCGGCCCAGAGGAGGAACTCCGCCGCGTGGCGCGCGAACGCGCCGCCGAGCGCCGCGAGCGGCTCGGCGACGGCGTGGAGGAGGCCCGCGCCGTTGAGCAGGAGCCAGGACGCGCGGTCCCGGTCCCCCGGAGGGAGCGCGAGCAGGTCGCGCGTCGCGGCCCGGACGTCCCGGAGGCGGGCGAAGAGGCGCTGCGCGGTCCGGGGGTAGCGCGTCGCGCCGTCGCCGCGGCGGACGCGCGCGAGCTCGCACTCGGCGCGCCCGAAGACCGCATCGGCGCGCCACGCCGCGACCTCGGCGTCGTCGCCGCCGCCGGGGCCGCCGCCGCGCCGCGGCCGCGCGAGGAGGCCGTCGCAGAGGCCGACGGCGGCGCCGAAGAACGCGCGCGACGCCGTCGCGTACTCGCCGAGCTCCAGGAGCCGCGCGCCGCAGTGCAGCGCGAGGGGCACGAGCTCGCGCGCCTCGAGCTTCTGCCGGCACCGCGCGTCGAAGCGGCGGAGGTCCGCGGCGCGGTCCGGCGACGACGGCGCCACCTCGGCGCCCCGCGGGAGGCAGCCCCGGTGGGCGAGGGAGCGCCGGTGCTCCAGGAGGGGCACCACGACGCGCTCGTGGAAGTCGCGGGCAAACGCCGACTGGGCCAGCGATGCCCCGCCCTCGCCCCGGCTCGAGGAGAACGCGGAGCCGTGCTGCGACCGACCGGCCGCAGACGACGCGTCCCCACCCCGGGCCACGGCCCGCGGCGCGGGCATCAGACCGAGGTGCCGAACGTCCACGACGGCCGCAAGGCCATCGTTATCCCGCTGGAACTAGGATATTAGATTCTATGTGTCTGAGCGAAATATGTATCTAACCAGGCTGGCTTCCGAAGGAGCACCCCTGTATTAACGTGATTCCTGGTTAGAGAGATAGAGAGATTTCTACCTTCATCTTCAGTGAACTGCATCTTGATGTTGCAGTGCACCTTACCCCACTGCGTTCCTACTGCGTATCCTGCTAGTTTCCCTTCCCTTCCTTAATTCATTCTAATCCAGTTTCAAGTCCTATAGACAGCGATAGCACCAGGCTCAGCGAGGTTGCACAGTCGCCGGACAGTGCACCTGCTGGATAGTAGTTTGACTGACGTCATAGCGACGTTAGGAAGCTGATAAACTATCCTAACTTCCTACTGGTACAATTTCAGGGCTGCGCTCGGACAACAAACCGCCTCGGGCGACCGCCCCGGCACTGTAGCGCACTACCGGCGTTGTCTCGTGGAGGCCATCAGGCCGTGCGGTAGCTCCCCACGCGGGTTCGCGGTGGTCCTTTCGAGCCGCCATACCGCCCTGATTACCGGGTAATTACCAGGGTATGGTAATTACCGGGAAATTACCGGTAATTACCGAGGCCTCCCGGGCACTGGCATTACCCGGCAATCCGGCGGTCATAACCATGTCCACAGCTCAGGGCAGCGTTCCGGTTCTGAAATTCACCGGGGAACGGCTCCATAGGGCCGATAAATCAAAGAATGAGGGGAAAATCAATTTTTGTTGAATTTCAAGTTGAAGAAACGAACTTGAAAAATTTTCACCTGGCAGGGGCCCCAAACGCGTCTATATTTGGGTTTCGCAGTCCCGGTATTCAAGAAGCATCAAAGCCGGGTGATTCTCGTCTTTCGGCTCGCAATTTTGTTGAATTTTGAGGAGATTGGACCATGTCCCGTCCATTTTGCACGCACGCGCGCGCGCGCGTTCGTTACGTATAGAGTAAGTAATCCCGGCACATCGAATTAATCAAAGCCGCGGACAGAAGATTTCACCGGGCGTCGGGGGGTGTATTCAGGTCGCATCGCTGCCCTGCCACAGCTCGGCCGCCGGCGGCGCCGAGCCGAGTGCAACACCAGCTCGGGTTCGACAACTTCGAGTTGGACAAGGGGAAGCTCGCATTCGCGCGCGTGCGGCGACGCCATGGCGTCGATTCCACGTCGATTCTGGGCCGGTCGCCCCGGCGCATTACCCCAGGAGCCTCTGCGGAATACCTTACCAGTCCCCCGGCCGCGGCGGCGGATACACAAGCACCGGGAAGGCGACCCCCGGACGCGGGTACCGGCCCTGTGTTTCGCACCACATTATCCACCACCAGCCTGTTTGATACGACGGCAATAGCCGAGACGATGACCATGACAACGGCGACGAAGGCGGCCACTTAGACAGCGGCGATTGCAGGTGGCGAGGAGGCGGCCACGACGGCGACGAAGCGCCACGCGCGTGCGCTGATTCCCACAGCCGGCCAATTCTCCAAGCCCCGCGGGGCTAAATACAAGGCGAGAACCCCTTAGTGGGCCACAAGCCCCCTCAAGGCTTCAGGTGGTTTCAAGGCCAGTGGCAGCCGCCATAAGCCCTACGTTTAGAGAAGAGTTTAGTAAACACAATGCCAACAGGTCAACATACCACTGGGAAGACTCAACTGTAAATTACCGTTGCCGAGCCCCAGATGGTGTAGTAGCAGCATGGATTCCATAGACGGCATCGATTGCGCGCTTGTTTGAGCTTTGGAGCTCGAACGAGTCGATTCTCAGCACTTATTTGGTTTCAAGTTGAGCCTTTGTAGCCGGATTAGTAAAGAAAAGTGTGTGCAAGAAAATTTCTTGCTGGAAGTGGTCAAAATGACTAAAGGTGCTCGCTGCATCAGTCATGCTGTGATACTGCATCGACTCTAGGCGCTACGAGTATACGACGTGACGCAATTGGTTCATCAGCATGCTGCTTAAAGGCAAATGGACTGGCAACAAATGTGCGGTCTGGCAGGAAAACGGCGACAACCATGCCTAGATCGGTCGCAAGGAGAGGCACTATATCGCAATCCTGAAGAAACACCTTTTGACCACGGAGAAATTTGACAAGTGGGGTGGGTCGGTCGCGCCAAGGCGCATGAAAGGTATCCCCATCCTTTCCTACACGCAGCATTGCGTCATTTGGAAATGGCCGTACATCAATGCCTTTTGAACTCTCAATAATTCTGAGGTGAGCAAGCGATTTTTCTATGACATTTTGGGAACGCGCATGAACATGCGTTGAAGAAACTCGAGGACTATACGCTGTAGCTTGTAGTACGTAACCTCTTCGGTGTAGGATAATTTTGCAAGGCAAGTTAACTTTCCAGTCGATAGGACTGGTCCGATCAAGTAGTTTCATATCGGTGTCCAGAAGCAGCTTGAAGGGTATAGCGAAGGGTTCAGTATTGTCAGCAATTTTCCCTTTGGACGCAATGGCAGCAAGACGGTTAAGGACCTACAGGTTTATAGCACCTTATTTCTTCGCCACCTCATCAACGAGCAAACGCAGTACCAGACCTCATACCTCACAGGAGCTGGTGTATCTGCGTACGTGACAAGGGACACAGCACCATCCGCCCGTGTTGAATAGGAGAGCCATTCATCAGCAGCATGAGAGACCCAAGCCTCGAAGAATTGCGCCTGGTATTGTAGTGCCTTTAAGCGTGTGTGCAGTTGGAGGCTTCCGCCGCAGAGCGTGCGGAGGGGGGGTAACACTGTGAGACGGCTGAGATTTCGAACGTAGTGAGTTGTATCTGTATTAGTAGTGTCCTCTCGCCAACTCTCGCCGTCCGCGTCAAGGTAAGTAACGAGATCATGTTTGGTGGCGAATAGTAGTGGTCGCACAAAGCAGGGCGCCGCCTGAGATGCCACTCCTTTGAACACGTTAGTCAACCGTGAGCCGCGCGCGAGCCTCAGCAGAAACGACTCCATCTGGTCATCAGCGTGATGTGCGAGTGCCACGTGTCCACACCGTTGTGGTATCAAAGCATCTACAACATTGAATGCCGTCTTGAAAGACGTTGTGCGTCGCCAAGCGCGGAATTCCATTTGGCTGGAATGCGTCGAAGAGTGCACCCAGTTATGTGCAGTACATTCAAGGCCGAAACGCCGCGCCAATGCTGCAACAAAGAGGGTGTCACAGCTTGATATCTCACCTCTCTGACGATGGTCAAAATTTAACACAGAAACGGTGGTACAAAAGATGAACGTGCCAGCGCTAATAGATGCAACAATGCTACGGAGTCGCATCCTCCAGATACCGACGCAATCACAACGTCTCCTCCAACTATCCCGCACTCCTTGCGCAGCGATGTCACGAACCGGCCCTCTACCGTACCGCAATTAACTTTTGCGACAGTTGTGGATTGTCTTCTCGGAGCAACGAATCCGTTCACACTAAATCGTACGCTCATCGGCCACATTCGACTTAGTATCATCATTGCACGCGACATGATCCAGACAGCTTGTGGCGCAGCCGCGCTTGAAGTTCTTCCCCCCAACGACCCGCCTCGCTGCCCTGCGACCTCATCGGAGTCGGAGCGGAGCGAAGGTTTTTGAGCATGGACCGCCGCCGCCGGCCAGCGTGACAGCGCCGTAGCGGCAACCGTGGTCGCGGCCGATAGCGCCGAGGCCATGGGCGATGACACCGGTGCAAGCGCGCGGCTTTCAGCGGTCGGCGGCGTCGCAGGGGCTGCCCGGATCGTGGTGGTCCACGGTCCGAACAACCTGGACGTCGGCGTCGTCGCGAGGAACGACGACGGCGCCTACGAGCGCGCGACGACGGAGACGAAACCGTTGCAGCTCAGGTTCGCGTTTTTGAACGGGTCCGAGGACTGGAAGTACAAGAACAGCAAGGCGAACGGCCAGAACGCGCTTACGTTCGCAGCGCTCAAAGGCTTCGGCAAGGACGAGGTCGTCGTCGAGGGCACCGACTGGGAGCTCGTGAAAACGGTCATTGGCGACCGCCACGACGCCAGCGCTAAGGCGACGCCCGGGGCGCGTCGTGCCGGGAACGCGATTGGCAAGGCGTCGGCTCAGCGTCCGCGCGCCGCGCGCGCCCGCGCGACGACGTGTGCTCGTAGGCCTGGATGACATGGTCAACGCTGCAGGCGCTCGTCAGCAGCGTCGTCGCGCGGATGCGGAAGCGGTCGAAGCCGTCGTCGCCCGGCGCGCCCGCGCCCGCGGCCGAGTTCGGCGTCTCGGGCAGCTCCGTCGAAAATTTGCAGAAGTACTTCGCGAGCGGCTTCGGCGCCCCGCCGTTCGTCGACGACGTGAGGAAGGCGCTCTGCGACGACGGCGCGGCGCAGGCCCTCGGCGACTGCGGCGCGCGGACCACCGGTCGCGCGGCGCCGGTGACAGCGACTCCCTTTAGTTGTAAGACGACGCGCGGGAAAGATTGCGTGGCGCCGTGCGACGCCGGCCGCGGCGACGAGCAGCAGCGTCCGCTCCGCCGCGGCGAGGAGGCGCAGCGCGGCGCGCGCGAGGGGCGCGCCGGCGAGCAGTCCGCGTCGCCGTTCCCGTCGAAGGCCGCGCCGGGGGGCGGCGCGAGCGCGAACGCGCGCGCCGCGGCGTCGACGGCGCCCGCGCCGCGGCGGCCGAGGGCCGCGGCGGCCCACGCGGCGACGACGCCGGGCAGCGACGCGCGCACGGCGTCGCGCAGCGCGCCGGGGCCCGCGGCGCGCGCCCAGGCGACGTAGGCGTAGGGCGCCGCGTCCGCCGGCGGCCGCGCGGACCGCGCGCAGAGCCCCGCCGCGAGCCGCTCGAGCCGCGGCCGCAGCAGGTGCTCTCGAATCGTAGAACGCGCCAGACCCAGTAGTGGAGCATCGCCGCGCTCCCAACAACTCCTGCCCTCGAGTCCCAGGCGTAGAGGTCGCCGTCGAAGTCCGTCATGTCGGCAGCAACGTCGCGTCGGAGTCGGGAATCCCGACGCCGCCGTCGCGGACCAGATGTCGTCCGAGACGGTGGTCCGTGGGCTCCAGACGGTTCGCGCTGCTTGGCAGGACACCTGAGCCGAGGCCAAAGCGCCGCAGGACCCCAGGAGTCCACCGTTCTGCAACGGAGGCGTGGAACGTCGACATGAGCTGCATCATGGGGCAGCCCTGTCGCGCCAGCAGCGCGCGCCGACGGCGACGTCGTTCGCGCCAGCCGACGCCGTCGATTAGATCGGGTCCAAGGCGAGCTCATAGGGCCAACCGGCTTGCAAAAAGACTGCGTTCCGGCCGAGAACGAGGCCGAAACCGACGCCCATAATCTTCTTTGCTCTCCGAAGCGTGGATGCTCCACAAGCAGACAGATAATTTCACCGAGACGACCCGATTGGCCAATCCAGGGGGGGTCGCGGGGTAGCATACTCGGATTCTAACACAGCCCGCGCTAGACCCGCGTGCGCGCGCGCGCGCGGCAAATTCTCAGGACCTTCTCGGTGACGTGGGTGGCGATGTGGCGTCGGCGACGGCCTCTTCGGAGGAGCTGCGCTGGGTCACATGTCCGCTGGCTTAGGTGTGGTATGGGGCACTGGGCCGACCCTCCCGATCGTGCCCTCGCTCCTCGCTCCACTACCCTAGCCCTTTGATCCTCCCTCCCTTCGTTCGATTCCTCTGCAGGGCTAACTGCCAGAGGACGATTCAACGAAAAATGATGCCTCCACCCTGCCCCAGCCCGTCTCCAGGGTGGAGAATGGACCACTTCGTGGCGAGGGGTGGATCTAAGCGAACGCGGCGTCGGCCGCGTGCACTGATGGGCGCCCATTGGTCGCCGGGGAGGCGACCATAATCCATACTCAAAGCTTCCTCTAAGGTGCCCCATACGCCGAGCGCCGGGGGCGCCGAGCTGCCCATCGCGTGGGTGGACCTCGGCGCGCCACCTTATTAGTCCGCCCGCGCGCCATGAAATCGCACCCCCAGCGCTCGGCGTATGGGGCACCTCAGAGGAAGCTGTCAGCGCGGACTATGGTCGCCTCGACACGGCGACCAAGGGGCGCCCATCAGTGCACGCCGCCGATGAGCGTGGGCCTCGCGGGTTTATGCCTCCACCCCTTACCCATTCTCCACCCTGGAGGCCAAATCTCCACGGTAAAAGGCAAGGGTCAAGGGGGTCACAGAGGCGTTCACAGAGGGTGGAGATGCGTTTATCGTTGAATCGTCCTCTGCCATTAAACTGGCGAGCGGCACTCCGCGGGCTGCTCCGGTGCCACGCTCCAACTGACGCATCGTCTGTGCCACTCAGCTGCAGATGCTGGTCATTTGGGCGCTTATGTTAGGGCGGGCGAGTTCGCTTCAGCGGTCATTGTGCCCCGCAAGATACGGTCCTGCAGGGCGGGGAGTGTCGCAGAGTAGATCCAGCACTTTCGTCCGTGCCTCAGATGCGAGCAGTGAGGCAAACTTGAGGCGGCAGCGAGTTTTAAGCGGGGTGCAGCCAACTGGGTCATTACATCTGGGAAATTATCTGGGTGCCATCCGGCAGTGGGTTGAGTACCAACACGAATACGATAGTCTGTTCTGCGTTGTCGACATGCATGCAATTACTGTCCCGCACGATGCCAAAACTTTGAGCAGTGAGACGATGGATGCCGCAGCGTTGTACATTGCGGCCGGAGTTGATCCCGACATCGCACCTATCTTCGTGCAGTCCCATGTGAGCGCACACGCAGAGCTTGCCTGGCTCTTAAATTGCATAACTCCGATAAATTGGCTTGAGCGAATGATCCAGTACAAGGAGAAGAAAGAGAAACAGGGCGAATTGGTCGCTGTCGGGCTATTCGACTATCCAGTCCTCATGGCTGCTGATATACTGCTTTACCAGGCGGGGCTTGTTCCTGTCGGTGATGACCAACGGCAGCACCTTGAGCTCACAAGGGACATCGCAAGGCGCTTTCATGACATGTACTGTAAGCGAAAGCAAAGAGTCTTTCGTGAACCTAAGGCCTTAATTGTCAAGGAGGGGTCGCGTGTCATGTCCCTCACTGATGGCACCGTTAAAATGTCGAAGTCCGCACCCCTCGACAACTCACGCATCAACCTCAGTGACCCACCAGACCTTATTGCATCCAAGATCAAGAAATGTAAGACCGATCAAGTCAAAGGTCTCGAGTGGGACAACCCTGACCGCCCAGAGGCCGCCAACCTCCTCAATATTTACCAGTCTGTCACTGGTCTTGAACATGAAGCAATCTTGCGTGAAGTTTCGGACCTCTCTTGGGGTGCTTTTAAGCCCAGGCTCACTGACGCCGTCGTTGCTCATCTGGAACCTATCCAACGTGCATATAAGGAAATCGCTGCTGACCAACATTACCTATCACAGACTCTCAAGCAAGGTGCGTACCGAGCTGACGAGATTGCAACGCGAACCTTGGATGATGCAAAGAGCGCCATGGGCATCAATATCAAGACCATATGAGAACCGGCCTCCATGGATGCAGCTAGGCTGGATTCTTTTTCACTGGTCTGAATCTGGTGAGATCATTTGTTCAACATCTGAGCCCAAAGGGGCCTGCTCCGCACCAGACCCGCTCCCTGCGACCACTGGCGATTCTTGTATAACCAGCAGGCTGCAGGCCGCTTACATGGGTGCTACATTACCGTCGACAGGGGTTGAAGGCGGATAGCTACCTATCTAGCTTGGCGCCCCCACTAGAGCCCTCCAGGTTAGAGAGAAATACCCCAAACTAGGGTACTAAGGAACGTTGATATCAACGTTACGGGGAAGTGCAGTGTCATCTCCATAGTGTGACGTCGCGACAGTGAGGGAACAGGGTAATGTAAATTACGGGGATGATGGGGAATTACGAAGGCTACTCAATTCAGATAGATCCCTTTTTCAAGTTCACTATACTGACTACGAGGAATTCCCTTTTCAGGTTCAGCCCCGCAACTCTCCTTACGCATAAACCGTGGAGAATTAAAGTACAAAGGAGGAGAGGAGGAGCCTAACTAGGGATACTCTCAGGATCGGGATCCTCTAACTAGGGAAAACTCTCTACACCCCTTTTGGATTATAAGAAGACCTGATGGGATGTTCCAGTTCAACTAATTCGTGTAACTTCTTAATGAAGGCTTCAAAATCACCACCAAGCTTATACTTGTCGACCTTGCCTTCATCTGAGTGCATGGGCAGCTAATCTGCCTAGCGAAAATTGTAACTTTCCGGTTGTCGACCCTATGAAGTACAAATTCCTTCGAGACTTCATAGATGGCAGCATCATCAAGGTGAAAAGCAAAACTTTTTGAGGCGCCAGCCGCGCGGTCGGGACTATCTGCGTTAAGCTAGCCGCGCCGGGATATTAGTCGGGTCGAGTGGGGCCTAAAGGGAGGCTAGAGACCCGAAAAAAATTCCGCGCGCGTCTACCCCCTGCTGGGTGTATCTTGTGCCGGCACAGTGTGCCGGCAGATCTGGCGAAGCGAAGTGTGCCGGCACAACCAGAAATAGCGTTTTGTCGGTGTGCCGGCACGTTTGGTCGGGCCCAAAGTCGGCGGGGCCGGGGCCTGGGCGTGTGCCGGCACAGCGGGAACACATTCTAACCCTTGAGCATCATCGATGTTGGAAAGATTATCCGCAGGCTAAAACTCTGCGCCTCGGATAACAGAGTCAGCTGCGCCCTTGAAGTTGCGATGTCTAAGTCACCACAACTCCAAGGACACAGCGTCTTTTCATTCACCGATAAAGGCCTAATCAACAACACGCAACTCATACCCACTGTCGAATCCCTTATCACCATGCCCCGTGATAAGATTAAGGCTGTAGATGTTGCATTCTTCTCTTTCCCTTGCATAAATGAGACTGTATTGCGCCATGGCACCAATGCTCAATATGACGACACCAAATCAGGGATGCTCGCGCCTGGCGGGGGGGATAATTCAACAATTTTGCCAACATTTCGTTCGGCAGTCGACCCGCGCGCGCGCGGTCGACGGAGGACCCCTATGACCTACTACGGCCGGCGGCCAGCAATAATAAATAAATACTTCTATGGCCGCGGCCAGCCCTATGGTTGTTTTTGGCCTTGCCATTCCATACCATGCTTGTTTATTATTATTAATTTAGGACCTTATGGGGTCGGTGACGTTACTTCTCCGAATGGAAGAGCGCTGCATTAGATGCAGAGTTCCACGCAATTGGGAGTCGCGAGCGCTCAGAGTATTGGCGGAGAAGGCTCTGGGCGGGGCGCTGCTCGCCGACGCAACTCTGGAGTGGGCGGATGGATCCTGCGTGGATGGATGCGCGAGTGTGGCATCGGTGGTGGAATCGGCACCATCCTTCGCGCGCAACATACGTGATGGATTTCTGGAGATTGAAATATGGACACTCACACAACCGAAACCATCATACCACAACTCTCGCAAGCTTGCTAAAAAGCTTACAGTGGATGAACAGCTGGCTCGGCTTTACGCGCCAACACGAGACGCGACGGAACAACAGCGAGAGTTGGGCATGCGAGGAACATTGCCGAGTGGACGGCGTCGTGGGTCCGGCGACACAGACGATACTCAGGAAGCCGACTTTGAGGGCTGGGGACGATTTGAGTCTGCGTTGGCCCTTGGCGGATCGACAGCCGAAGAGCGGTTGGAAACCAGACTCTTTCCTGTAGTGCATTCGTTGAGTGCACGCCTTTGGTTCGACTTCACGGAGCCTCGAGCACGCGACGTAAGCTGGGTGCGTTCATTCGAAACGGGCATCACGGAAGCCGTGCGATTGGCTATGCGAGCATATACGCAGCGTCTACAGCGCGTAGAGGGGAAATTGAAGCAGAATGGATTCAAACTTGATCTCTTTTCGAACGGAACTACCAAATGCGAAGAGCCTCGGGTGCTCGTCCTCGGTCTGCACGCAGGTGTTGCGGCACTTGTAGCAGCAGTGGCGGGAGCAAAGGTTGTATGGATTGAGCGTGTGCGGCGTCACGCAGAGGTGGCGAAGCGAATAATTGCAGCAAATAACATGGAAGACCGGGTTGAAATCGCCACAGCGGCAAGAGGTGCCCCGTATACGTCTCTTAGCCTCAAGTCGAAGCGTGGGGCGGGCTTTGATGTAGTTGTGACCGAATTTTTCGATGCTAACAAGGCAGACGGAGGGCTCACCGAGCTTGCTAAGGCCGCGTATGAGCACCAATGGCTGCGACCCAAGAGTGGCGTATTTCTACCACGACGCGTCATCTACAAAGTCGCCGCGGCTGAGTTGAGCACGAAAAACTCAAAGGCGTTCAATGGGCTGGACCTTCAGCTTTTCGATCGTTTTCGCGATGCGCACCGGGCTACTTATGATCTCGTCGATGAGCTCGGGGCAGATGCTCACCATGCTCTCCTTAGTGCCTCAACCTCCATTTTTGTTGGTGAAGTTTCTAGGGTTGCGCTCCTGGGAGACTCATCAGAGGCGCCACCTGCGAATCGAATCGTGTCAAGGCGCACGGCGCATCGTGCTGGTTCGCTGACAGCCGTAGTTGGTTGGCATAAAATTGTCTTCTCTGAGAGTGTATCAGCAGGCTTCGGACCCGTAGATGTGTCTCATAATCTGAAACCATTTTGTAGGGATGGTGTTCTACGGCCGTGGTTACAGAACTGTGAACAGGTTGATCGTGCTCTCAAGCAAACGGTGCGATATCTCAGGTCCCCGCGACTTGTGGAAGCAGGAGACATCCTCGAACTGATACTTGTCCTTGATCATTCGAAGGTGCTGATAGAACTTGAGGCGGCTATTGTGCCTCCAACCGGCGAGCTTGGTTGCAGCATGTTCCGGAAGCCGACCCTTGCGCTCAATCTGATTGGGAATTTGACCTTCGCGACAAGACCGCTACTTCCATACCACTGGCCCATGATTGCAGATGAGCAACGGAACGCATGCTACAATTGCGCTCTGAAATTGGCCATCAATCGAATTCTTGAAACCCAGAGCACCTGCGATGTTCTTGACATCGGTGCCGGCAGCGGTCTACTTGCAATGATGGCAGCACGAGCTGGCGCAACGAGCGTCACGAGCGTGGAGATGGTCCCTGCACTCGCAGAGGCATCGGCGACAATAATAGCCGCAAATGGCTTCGGAGATGTAGTTCGTGTCCTTGCACGCAAGTCCAGTGACATATCTGTCTCAAACACCACCACGACTCGCCGTTCTCTTGCTGAAACCCGCCGCGACGCTCCATTCCAACGGCAGGCATTCCTCCTGAGGAAGGTTGACATTCTTGTCTCAGAAATTCTCGACAACGGGCTTCTTGGTGAGGGTGTGGTACCCACAACCCAAGATGCACGTACGCGCCTCCTAAAGCCCGGTGGTGTTATCATTCCCCGCGCCGCAGCTCTTTACGCGATTCTAATCGAATACAAGGTCCCTCCCACTCCATTATATGGCTTCGATCGAAACGATCTCGAGGTCTTCTATACCGACGCTTCTGCCGGAACAGCAGCTCCCGCGAAGTCAACAATGCTACAACGCCACGCTCACAAAAAATTGTCCACGCCCGTTAAGCTTTTTGACTTCGACTTCTACTCCGCCTCTTTCGAGGAGAACATTATCGCTGCGGAGGTGGCCTGCGAAATAACTGTCTTGCAAACAGGCACCCTCACCTGTGTGTGTTTGTTTTTTGATCTCGATCTCTATGCGGGGGCGCCGAAGTTCTCTACATCTCCAAACAATCCAAACCTCGTTGCTTGGGACCAGACCCTCCGATACCTCCCCATCCAGCTTGGTGTTCACCGGGGGCAGGTGCTCAAGCTCACTGCTAATCACGACAACCTCCACGTACACGTCGGACTCCCAAGCGTGGATGGATGTGTCCTCGGCTTGGGCCACAGGGAGCTCCTGAACAAGCGCACCACCAATGAGCCCACCAGCATATGCTGAGAAATAGACCCCGTAAGGCTAGGGGGAATTGTAGGTGGATTTCCAGGTAGCCCAATGCACTACTACTACGACCAACATCACCCCTGGTGGCGAAGTTCTGAAACACGTTCTAAATGAAATTAGACGCCACAGTCACGGATGCAACCACGATGGACCCCAAGCAGAAGTATGCACCAAAGCCCTCAAAGGCTACATGGAGGAAGTGCCCTCATCCTACGAGTCAAGGTGAAAAGCAAAACTTTTTGATGGCCCCCCGTCCGACGTGCTCCCTCAAGAATCGAGTTGGGCAAGGTCCACTTCATCGATTCAGCGATGGCGGACCAACCCAAAGTGCAGACTGATGAAGAGGTTTTGTGGGTTTTTTCCAAAGAGTTCACCTTTGCGTCTAGGTTGAGCGGTCGGATGAGGAGGTGGAGCTAGATATATCGAATAGCGACGTTTGCACCAAGTGCGAACGCAGCATAACTTTTGACAATGATCGGGTTTAATAAGGTACCGAGAAGCGGGGAAGATTGCGAACCTGGCGCTGCAGGGGCTTGTGCTTCAAGTCAAGCCTGGAGCGAAGGTCCTCGACCTCTGCAAGTTTGGGGACATGGTTATCACCAAAAAGTGCGGAACCATTTATCAAAAGAAGGTCAAAGGCAAGGCCATTGATAAAGGCGTCGCATTCCCAACGTGCGAAAATGAATTCTTTAAGTGTATTTATCCCACTTATATGTCCTTCAAATGCATCGAATCCTCACCAAATGATCATTTGGTTTCGTAGTTGCGTATCAGTGAACGAGTGCGTCTGCCATAATTCACCACTCGAGTCAGACGCAAACATTGATGTCCTCAAAGACGGTGATATGGTAAAACTGGACGTTGGTTGCTACGTGGATGGCTACATTGCTGTTGCTGCGCACACAATGTTGTGTGGTGAACAACCGAGTTTAGACAACCCGCTCTTGGGTTCCCAGGCAGATGTCCTCCACGCAGCACACGTTGCCTGCGAGGTTGCACAAAAATTGCTGCGGCCGGGGAATACCAACTCCCAAGTGACCAAGGCCATTCATAAGGTTGCTGAGGACTTCAATGTCAGAGCGTGTTCAGGTGTGCTCTCGCATCGCATGAAACGATTTGTCATTGATGGTAACAAAGTCATTCTTCTTCGCGAGGAGACTGATCAGAAGGTAGAGGACTTTTGTTTCGAACTCAATGAGGTTTACTCCATCGATGTCGCCATGTCAACTGGTGATGGCAAGCCAAAAGAAATGCAGTCTCGGACCACCATCTTTAAACGCTCTGTAGACAAGAACTACATGCTAAAGATGCGTTCGAGCCGAACGCTTTTCAATGAGGTTAACGCCAAATTCCCTGCTTTACCATTCACTTTGCGCGCGCTTGAAGACGAGCGACAGGCACGCATGGGTGTCGTTGAATGCCTCAAACACGAGCTCATCCATCCCTATCCCGTTCTCTTTGAAAAGAAAGGAGACCACATTGCTCATTTTAAATTCACGGTTTTACTCCTCCCCAGTGGGCCCACACGTATCACTGGTCTGAAATTTGAGGCGGAGACTATCAAGTCCGATAAGATTCTCTCAGATGATATCAACGCCATCATGTCCCTCGCCTCCAAAAAAAAGAAAAAGAAGCCGAAAAAGAAGGTTGCACCGGATGCCGCTTAAATCCTGTCCTTTCGGTTCTTTGCCTAGTGAGTGCTTTGTCTTCCTCATCGAAAGGAACCTTTGGAACTGCCTGGAATACAAGATGCATGCGAATTACACGCTATTACGCGAGCGATATCCCTATCCTCTAGCATGACGCCGACCGTCCTGGGGCATTGATTCGGTGGGTCTTGTCGATTGTCCTTAAGCTGTGCACGGGTGCGGTACTGCGCCGAGTCGCAATCCCTGAGCACGCACCTGGGTCGCTGGCGCGTGGCCACACCAGCCTAGAGAGACAGGGAGAACCTCGTATATTTAGCGGCTCGCTAGCACCGTTCTCTCCATAAGCTCCCATGGTGAGCAGGCGCCCGGTAGGCACCGTAGGCTCAGGCCGCAGGCTGGCAGATGTCCCCCTGTAGCGGGGATAGTCCCTTCAAGGTATACTTCTCTTAAGAGTAAGTACTCAGCTTGAGTGTGGCGGGATTTCCGCCTTCAATATCTACCTTTAGCTTAGTTTGAAGCTGGCATTGCAGTGCATGTATCCGCCCTATTTATCTCATTGTATCTTTATCCTAGTTCTATAGTTGAAGGGCCTTACAATCCTATGACATGAGGTTCACAGTGCAGTGGATATATATCAGCTAAGTCGCCCACGTGTATCTTTTGTACGAGGATACGCGAAAAAAAGATATCCCCTTCTTTCTTTCTCTTGCACACTTCAGTGACCGAGGAGTCTGGGGGTTGCATAGGCAGCTCACCGGCTAGGGCAGATACAGGAGAATCTCCCTCCTGAGAATCTAGGTATGAAAGTTTAGACTCAGTGAAACTGCTTGAACTTATTAAATAAGTGTGCGCACGAGGTGTTGCAAAATCAACACATTGGATTACCATCATCCCCCATAATTTACATTACCCTGCTCCTTTACTATCGCGACGTCACACCATGGAGATGACACTGCACTCCCCCGTAACGTTGACATCAACGTTCCTTGTTACCCTACTGTAGTTTGGGGTACCTCTCTCTCTTTCTACATTAGTCCTCCCTCAAATCAGCCTTGTGGTTGTAAAGTATTCGTAGACCTATTCGTCCGTGTATCTTTGCTTGTATCTCCGTACCTCCAGCGTATATATCACCTGCGCTGATAACGCTTCTGGAGAGCTGGAAACAACATGTCAAGCCCCGTTCGCGTCGGTGATGCTTCGCCTCTGGTACCACACTCAGGCGGACGCATGACATACCCGAAGTATGTGACGCCAGCCCCCGGAGACTACGAAGTTCAATCGAAGCACAACATCAAGTTCACGAAAGCGCCTACCTCCCAATTTGGCGGCAACTTATGTAAAATTGATCGTGATAAAACAGGATTGCGCGCACGAGCCTTGCAAACGGCGGATGACCCGGGGCCCAATGCATACTCTGTGACTGCAGCCAAGCAGAAATTGGACGTGAAACAACGGGCCCCAACTTTTAAGTTTGGTAGCTCACAACGTTCGGATGGTTCCAAGATATACATGCATCGAGCAGATACTACTGGCGACGTGACCGATCCAAATCGCGCGGCAGCGGGTCGTGGGGTGCCAGGACCTGGCGCGTATGGAACGATGGGTCCATCCATGGAGAAAACTAAGAAATCAGCTCCACGTTTTTCCTTTGGATTAAAGCCGACAATACAAGAAACTACATCCGCAACTACGATAAACATTGGCCCTGGCACTTACCTTTCCCCCTCATCCATTGGGAAGCAGGTAATATCCATGCGACCGACATCGCCAGGCTTCTCCATGGGCACCTGTGATCGGGAAAAGATGGGAGAGGTTTTACAACCTGGTTTTTCGCCAAATGTCAAGAACCCATCACCGGGGCCATCAAAGTACGAATCTCCCTCCGGCGTTGGGAAACAACTCCAGTCAATGCCGGAGTCAGTAGAAAGTTGGCATAAACAATTGCTTCTAACAATATGTTTGAATCAGGTCTAAGCATCGGTCGGCGAATTCATATTCGTTTGGCACGGATGATAAACTCAAACGTCAGCGCGATAGAGGGGTGCCTGGACCTGGCTCGTATGACGCTGCCTCCATGCTCGGGATACAGTCCCACTCCAAGTTTACGACGTATGGGGGCTTCAAGTTTGGCACTGGCCAAAGACCCGACACTGCGTCAATGTCTTCAACAGTCACCTCTCTTGATGTGTAACCGTCATCAAAGATACGCTCCGAATTGCCTTGCAGCAGTCATCAAAAAGACCGACCACGGTCGTATCACGACGCGCATTTCTGACGAACCCCGACATGCACCCCTGTCCTACGCTCCTGGTAGCGACTTTCACGGCCGCGTCGGAAATCGGACACACACTGAACCAACGACACACTCGGGTGTTGGCAGAGCACAAAAAAAAAATCAGCTCCCCAGGGGCTCCTTTGGGGGCTTGGTAGAAGCAACAAGCTGGCAGGTACCTGGCGTCTTCCTCGGCGCCCTATGACTCCTTCGCGGTCTGTGTATGCCATGTTAGAATCCGAGTATGCTAGTATGAAGCACCAGCATAGTATAGCATGAGCATAGCCAGTATAAGGCAGACTTAGCATAGCCAGCATAGGCCAGTATGAGCGCCCCAGCATAGGGAGGATAGCATAGTCCCGAGTTAGGGTAGAGTCAAAGAGACATAATCTGGATGGCTGACCTCTATGAATTTTATACAGGTAACGCGCTCAACATCCCAACGTATATCGACAATGAAGACGTAGTAACCAGAAGGCAGGAGTTAAAGACATCCCAGCGGAATAGACACATGGGCATGTAGTTGTCCTCTACCAGTTGGCTTAGGAGTCCTTGGACATCACTGCCCTGCATGTTGGCTCTATACGCCTGGTTTAACTTGGCATTTGATATGGCAGACACGCATTCTCCTGCCACTACTTAGCATAGCCAGCATAGGCCAGTATGAGCGTCCCAGCATAGGGAGGATAGCATAGTCCCGAGTCAGGGTAGCATAGCCCAAGGAGCGGAATGTAGGCCCCCTAGGTAGCTGGCTTATCGCGAAGCGCACTTTGATTGTGCTTAATCACACTCGCGTTCTAAGGGCGATATTCGCCGCTTTATCATGCCAAAGCTGCCAAAGCTGCCAAAGCTGCAGAGAAGCTGCAGACGCGTACTAGACCCAGAAGTCAGATCCGCAACTCTCGCTGGAGTTACACGACCAGTGGGCCAATAAGTCTATCCGGTGGGCCCAGCTAAGTGGTGCGCGCGCCTCCGGTGGCCCGTAACCGATTTCTTGGCTCCGAAAGCCACGCGCGCGCGCGCGTTTACGGGGTGGGCCCGGAAGTCGCGGGATCTGGCTGCCCAGCCGTGCGGCGGCGCATCGAGTCGTAAGCGTATTCTTTTCCGGTCAGGAGCTCGTCGTCGTGATGCGAGTCGATGTTGCGAAGCAGTCTGTGGGCGCGCGTCGATATTCCGACGACCCGCGGGCGACTGGCGGGCCGCGGCGCGGTTTCCCGAGGCCGCGAGCCGCGGCGTGATTCTGGTCGCAGACGATGGTCTGGCCGCTATAAAAGGCGTGACACACATGGGGCGTGCCATGGAAGGTGTTGGAGTGGTCCCGGGACGCGATCTCGCCGTGCAAAGGCTGGTTCTATTCGCGAGGGCCTCGCCTGGCTCCGCAACAATTCGCTGCGGTGATCCATGCAGCGTTTCACGTCGATCGATCATCGCTGCTGCGTTCCGTCCGGCGGGTCGACATGCTGGAACCTCTCAATGACGACCTGCACCGTCGTCGACGCCCATGAGGTGCCCGAAACTCGCCGAAACCACCTCGGCGGAGAGCCGGCGGATGGCCGCCGCGGCCCAGTACGGCCGCTTCCGGGCCTCGCTCGAGGTCACTGCGACCTGCGCGTCCAACCTCGGTCCCGACCACCGCCGCGAGTCGACGGGGCGCCGCAAAGAGCGCCCTGGGGCTCCTTTCGGGGGTCATTTTGGCCCATTTTGGCCCGATAGCCCATTTTGGCCCAAAAGCGCTCCATACGCACCCTAATAACCGGGCCTGGGAAACCCAACGAAGCTGAGTTCGCGGCTTGCCCCTCTCCCTAGCCACCCTTAAGCGCCCCGGGCCTGGCGCCATCTCTCTCCAGGGGGGGTGTCGGACACGGGACTCCGGAAACCCAACGAGGCTGACCCGCCGGGGTAAAAGCCGATCGAATGTCCTCGACGCTTCATGATCGACATTGTGCAGCGTTTTGGCGGCGCGGTGCGATGGGATGGCCGTCTTTGAGGGCCCGCCGCTCCGCGAATATGCAGAATTGTGCAACGATCCCAGCAGCTGCGAGGGCCGCAAGGACGAGGGTGAGGCACATGCGAAGACGCGACGCTCATACGACCGCGTGGCGACTGGAACGGGGAGGTAGAGTGGGTGGGAAGGGACGCGCTGCCCCCTCGCGACCCCTCTAGCATAGTTTTCGAGTCATCGCAGCAGCGGAGATCGTTCGTCATCGACCCCGTCGCGTCCAGCGCGGCGGGTTCCTCGGGGGAGCCCGAAATCGTCGAGTCCACCGGGCCGAGCTCCGGCGGCGTTTCGTCCCGACGGTGGCCGTGGGGTATCTGGGGCTGCCCCCGCCGCCCGAAATGGTCTCGATCCGTTCCATACCACCATGGGAGGCGCCTCGGGCTGCCCCTCGGGACCTCGAGCCGACCGACGTCGGGTTCGACGGCTTCCGCATGGTCGACGCCGCCCCAACCGCGCTGGATCCGCGTCGTGGCGGGTCGACGCGCGAACGAAGCGTTTGGGGCGGTAGCGAGACACCTTCCCCACTGCCGATCCCGGCGCATAACGCTCAGACGCCATCGCGAGCGCCGCGAAGAAAAGCCCATGCAACGACTGCACCGTGCCGCTTCAACAGGGGACAAACTCAAGTAAATACCCCGGCGGGTGAGTTTGCGGCTTGCCCCCCTCCCTAGCCGCCCTTAAGAGCCCCGGGTCTGGCGCCATCCCTGTCCGGGGGGGGCGTAGGGCCCGTGGGGCGGCGGCGGGTGCGAAGCGGGGTTGAGTGGGGCCTCTTCCTGGCCGCCGCGCGACCGGTCGCGGCGGCTCATACTGAGCCTACTGAGTCGGCTCAGTCTCAGTATGGGGGGCGGCTGCGGGTCGCTGGATTTCCCGTGGATGATAGAGACAACAATCACAGTTAGCCTACCCTAGGAGGCGTGGCGGACGGAGGCGTCCATATTCGGGGTCACAGTGGCTGGGGCTGCCTTTTGGGGTGGTTGTCGGGCCGGGGGCGGGGCCGTGGTCGTACTCATGTCAAAGGATTGTAAAGCCCTTCAACTAAATTACTAAGTAGATATTACCTCCGATCTCCCCTGGTAGCCTAGGGGTACTAGCGCGGACTCTCAGCCGGGATAACACCGAGGCAGCCTTCGCTAGACGGGTTCTGTGTGGCGCGGTCGCAGTTTAGCTTACAGAAAATAGATGCCAGGAACTCGCCCTAGACCAAGGGGAAGTCACCCGAGGTCCCCCCGAGTACGCCCCAGTAGGATTTAATTAAATTTTACCACCCCGTACCCCGGAGCTCGAGGTCACTTGGGGCCCTGGGTGGAGCCCATGTTGAAGGCACACGCAGCTCCTAATCCAACTATATCATTCTATATCTTCTATCTCCCTTAATAGACCAAGAAACTTGCATGTAGCATTATGAACGTCGCCGTCGTTGTATTCATTACCTTCATTCTTTTGTTATCGGTCTGCTTCGAACTAGGACATGAGCATCTCAGGGAGACGACGCCGGAAGCATTTCAACCAATTTTGACGTCGCTGTGCGTTTCCTCGTTGTGACTGTGTGCCGATGATGGAACTGCAGGTACTCAGAATTGACTTTACTTGGCTTTATCGGGCTTTTGATGTTCACGATTTTCAAGGCGGAGTATCTGCACACAATGTCCACCAGAATATTCGGTGCGACAAACGCGGTCCTGTACTTGCTAATATACTTGCAGGTGAGCCGGAGGAAATCCAAGAATTGGGTGAGCAAGTTCACATGGTGCTCTTTCTCGTAATGGCGATATTCCTTGCGCAAGCTGTAGGGCTCGCCCGCTTCGGTGAATCGATCCAACGCAAGTGGCACGTCTGGGAAGCTAAACCAATTGTAAGCGATGAAGATAAGAGAAACGGATGCATCGAATTACGGGCGACGTTTCACAAGGCCAAAAACCGGATTTCATTTCTCGAACTCCTTATTACCAATCATATGCCAGATAAGTACCGACTCATTTTGCATACGGCAGCACGACTACGATTCGTTGAGGAGAGTGGGCTAGCTGCAACAGACTTTGAATTCGCCCGTTATCTTTCAACTCTGCTGGGCCACACGCTTGGCGAACTTGTAGAGGTACCAATCAAAACCTGGTTTGTTCTGGAACTCATTCTGCTTTTCTTTTGGCAGTGTGAGCTACATTTACCACCTAATGCGAGACTATCGTTGTGGCTGGTGACGGGCTACCTTACTGCGTTCCTTGCCTACTTTGTTCATGCAAAGCTGCGGCTTGTGCTTCACGAATACTGTGCTCCCTTTGTTGGTGGTGACACATCCTTCATGAAGCAGATTGGCGATCGCGGATTCTCGACACTGACGCTCCCTGGTGAAAGCATCAATTCTAGTTATTCTCCCGAGAGCATTTGCGAGCGTAGACCGTCACTGGCCCACCCCAACTTGGCCAACGTCGATGTAGTTGAAAATGCTTGCGATCGCGTGAAGCGACTTGCAAAGCAGAGACGGGCGTCAATGGCAGCTGCACCATCCATATCAACTACACTTTCGCGGGTAAAACGAAGCGTGCGTGAGTCCCTAGTAAACACAACAAAAGACCGTCAGGGCTCCATCGACCTTTCTAAGTCTCAATCTTATTCTACGAGTGCGACGCATAATTTTGATCCCACTGGGCCTGTTCACGATAATGTTGCAGCTGCGTACGTGGAATCATTTTGGTTTGGTGAAACACATCGCGCACATTTTACATTTGATATTATTCGCCTCATTTGCCTCATGACAGCCGTCTACATGGCCATTTTCTGTCTCGTCTATGTTGACGATCTTTTTGAGACCCACGACCCAGTTGACCGCACCATTCCTGCCGTTGCATTCCAACATCGCGGCGGTTACTTGGGTGGCATCATGATTCTCTTATTCGCTATTGGACCTCCAGCACTTGTTCTATTGAAAATAACACGTGTTTTGGAAGATTTTACCGTTGTTGCTAACATATCCGATATGAAAAATCGCCGTGTTATCGAACTGGTCCTCCGTCGCCAGAAGACAGTTGCTGCATTCGAGGCACTCAAAGTTGTCCAGTGCCTCCGCAATCCTAGCATGCTTCTAAATGTCATCGCATCTCCAGAAACAAATATCGAGGGCGAAGAAACGACGCTCCAGTCCCCGTCCACTGCAGGCAGTGATGTCACACAGTGCAACAAGCGCTTCTCCTGGTCCGCACTTGGCTTCTCAACTACGCAGATTGACGATGAAACAGAGACAGAGATGACAGCCTTTGAGAAGAAGAAATGGTCTGGTGCTCAGACTGCAACTGGCAAACACATCAAGAAAAAAGCCCGTGCTCGTCGCGCCTCAGTGGCCGCTCTATCGGAGCTGCGTCGAGAGGAGCGCGATGTCTTCGCTTTGCGTCAGCGTTCGCACTGGCAGCGCATCTTCAACCTCTTCGACGAAGATGGTCAGGGCTCTATTGACCGTGGAGAGATGCGTGATCTTCTCGTCAAATTTGCCTGCGATGCCAAGCCAGAGCAGCTAGACGTAATGATACTACAGCGTCTACATCGATTGCATAAATCGACGTGTTTATCACCTGATTTATTGTTCATACAACATCACTTACCGCGACATGTTTTTAGACAATAATTGACAATCTTGACAATGACAACTCTGGGGAGATCTCCTTTGACGAATTTTTTTCGTTCTCGATCGCTGTCTTAAATGAGCAAGCCTCATTAAAAATCTGACAATTGTAGGTTTGCAACAAAGCTTACACATTACGTTGCTTCGTGCGACCCTGATGAGCTCGTCCATGATATGTTCAATCTCCTAGATCAGGATGGTTCGGGGACGATTACTGTGCATGAGATGCACAACGTCGTCCACGAGATGCTTGGCCAGGATCTTTCCGTTGAAGACGTCTTCAACGTTGTCCAAGACATCGATGTCGATGGCAATGGCGAGCTTGATATGGAGGAGTTTTCTGTTCTCCTTGAGCGATTTGGCATCTACCACTGATTCGAGCTTCAGCCAACCAATGCTGAACTTCTCAACCTCTCAAGATGGTCGCCCGAGCTGCTTTTCATACTACCTTCGTGCGCGTACTAGGCGTGCCGACGCGCCGGCGGCTGCGTGAAGCGGCAGAGCCAGATCAGATGTGTCTTGGCCAGCACAGCTTGCGCAGCCCGCAATGGCGCGTCTGCGACCATTTGGAGCTACAAAAAAGCGATGGAAAGAAAGAAATACTTGGTATGCAAGAAATACATACTTGGTATGCAAGAACTTCATCATCATTAGCAACCTGTGGGCTGTAGCCAAAATCCCAGACTACCAACTCGGACTATCATTGGTTGACTAAGAGTCCAATGGGTGGACTGGACACGGGTCGTAAGTTGGCTGCGAGTAGCATGACATATCCCGCCGGTGGGATACGCTAAACGGCGACCTCAAAGATCCTCAACACCACCGCGTGCCCTTCAAGGGGAACCTCAACAACGCCGCCCACACCTCGTAGGGGACCTGCGAGGCGCCGCCCACGCCTTAAGGGGCACAACCCGCCCGAAACCGCGCGTCAGACCCCTCGCGGACATAAAGTCCCGTGTCATTTTCCGATTCTAAATTCCCCTGAACCTCGCCTTCGCTTAAATCGGTTTTGCCGGCGTGGCGAAATTCCAGTGAAGTGTTTTGGAGCAAAAACGTAAGTGTTTAGGGGGGAGAGGCAAGTGTTGGCAAGTGTTTCAACGGCCAAAAAAAGGCCAAAAAATTAGAATTACCACGAAATATGTTTTGAAAA